CACAATAACTTCATCACTTTGTTTAAAGTGTGCAGTTAAATAAATGGATACAAAATTAATTTGCATGTGAGAACATAGTGTGTGAAAACTGCTAGACTGAAAACTCAAGCTAAAATAGTCTGGAGTGAATAGTTTCTCCGGTAAATTTTTTGCCTTGTGTTCTGTTTGTAAATTTTCCGTTGGAAGCTATTTATTTTCTTGAATGGACTCATTATGGAACTGATTTCTAACAAGCCATTTTCTATCTATGGATCATAGGTGCTCGGTTTGCTGTGAGTATTGTGTTGTTGAAATTTGAGCAATGATAGCTAGTTTGGATTGGACACAGAAGATACATGCCATGATTCTATGCATGGCTGAATAAATCTGAGTTTTAGAATCAAGCTGTCGTGGAAATATTTGCATGTGAGAATTCCCAATTACATTTCCATGAGTTTACTGTCATGCTCACTGTTTCAGTGAACATCCCTTCTGGTAAAGTCATTTGCTGAAATACAAAATTGATGAGACTACATCTAGACCTTAGTGGAAGGTGATTTTGGAGGGATTCACCCATCTTAGCTTCAGTTGCCAAAACGTTCGGCGTATCTTCTCTTTATCTATAGGGCACATACAGCACAAGCTTCCCTGTACTGCTTAGTCAATATGGCTCTGTTCTCTACTGAAATGACCACCTCTAGAGATACATTTACATGAACACTTTTCCCAACCCTTGCCTAGCACCGATTCAATTTCATCAGCTGCAGCATTGGTGCAACAGCTAGGGAATGTTGGATTGCAGGTGTTTTCACCATCAGAACAGAGTCAGACAACAGGCTGGAAACGGGGGGAAGTGTATAATTAGTAGACTGAGGCCATGCCTTCACTTGCTGCGCTGGAGATTGATTTTCTGGCATTTGATTGAGCGGGGCTAGTTAAGACCCACTAAATCAAAGGCTGAGTGTAGCTCTGGTCTGTGCTGGTAATCCTGACAGTCGCAAGGAGTAAGGAAAGTTGATGGGAGTGTTTGTTCCTTTTGGTCTCCCTCTGTAAAGACGGTACCAAGCTCGGCTTAAGGTAAGCTGGCTCCACTACATATTTTACATAGCTGGAGTTGCGCACCTTAATGTGACCTTCCAGACCTAGTGTAGACAAGGCCCAAGGGCAGAAAAGTCTCCATTGCCCATTCAGTCCTTGGCCACTCTGCTGAGGCCTTCAGTACATTCTGAATGGGTGCTTTAGGTGCCTCTGCACTGACATCTAAGAAAATACTCTATCTGTATTATGGAAAAACTGCCCTTTCCTTCTATAATTTAACTGTCCAATTCCTGGAGGGGCAGTCTGATGAATTTTAAGCCACCCTGTTTCCTAGATCTCATTCAGCAACACAATCCACACAACACTCTGGACGGGTCACAAGACAGGCTATAATTCATTACTACCGTATGGCTCGGAGAGGCGAGGTGATCAGTTCATTTGGCTCTCAAAAACTCAGCAATATTAACTAAAAAGTCAACAGAGAATTTTATTCAGCAGAGAAAGAAAGCAGAGGGGAATAACAGGAAGCAGTAAATAAAGAGGCCAAAATAGCTGAAGGAAACTTATAAGGTCATCAGCTGCACCAGAGTGGTCACCAGCCACTCTTCAAGGGACGGGCATATGTCAGAGGAAGGGAAGTAAGCTGCAGCTATTATGAGGTAGGGGATGCTGGGGGAAGCTGCTTTATTTAAAGGAATGACAGATGGTCTGGTGGTTAAGACACAGGAAATGCTATTTCTGTTTCTGCCGCAGGCTTCCTTTGTGACATCGGGCAAGTAATGTAGGTGTTTGAGATCACCCACTGGAGTCAGGGGAGGAATTGACACAATTAGGTTCGTTATGCACTGGAAGGGGGAGTGGAAGTATCTTTGAAGTAGCTCATACTTGGATTGAGAAACGACAAATGGAGGCTACCAGGCTGGATAAATGTGAGTTTTAGAATAAGAGTGCATCTACACAGCACCCTAAAGTCGAAATAAGATTGCATATCTTATTTCGATTCTCTTTCAAAATAGCTTATTTTGAAATTTGGCACATTCGCACAGCGCCACATTTTGAAATAACGTGTTATTTTGAGACGTCCTTTAGCCCTCAGGGAGCAAGGGTTACAGGGATGCCGAAATAGCGCGCCCGTTATTTCAAAATATATTTCAAAATAACGGGAGGCTTGTTAAGACGCAGGGTCGCTATTTGGGGATACCCTCAGGTTGTAGTGGAACGGTTTGTGTGTGAGAATTCCAGATTAGAATTCCATGAACGTATTGTAACGCTCACTGTTTCAGTGAACATCCCTTCTCGTAAACTCGTTTGCTGGAATACAAAACCGGCGAGACGAGAGCCAGCCCTTTTCGGAAGGTGATTTTGGAGGGATGTGTAGTGTGTTTGTTCTTAGATGCAAATTCCTGTGCTCCAGCCCATCGATGGGGGGTGGAGAAGGGGAGCAGTGATTGAAAGAGGCCTGGGACTCCAGCCACTGCTGTTGCTGCAGTTTCAGTGATGGCAGCCAGAATTTCAGGCCCTTTAAATCATTCTGGACTGCCACACCATGCTTTCCGGGCAGCCTGTAGGCCTGGGCAGGGGGTGCACCATGGGTCTGGGCAGTGCTCATGGCCAGCTGCCCCAGCCCTGCCCCTTCTGGGAGTGCAGAGCTGGACCCGTCCCCTCCCCCTCCACCACACACACACACTTTGCCTGGCCGGTGTTCCTTCTCTTGCCTAAAGTAAGCAGAGATGGGGAATTTGGTAAAGGCTCCCGTAATGGACAGGAGGAGTGCTGACCAAAACCCGGTGACAAAGGGGTTAAACTCTGGTGGCCAGAAGAACCAATGGGCATGCAGTACTGACATTTGAATTGTATAAGATTCTTTGCCTGCTTTCTTTGTGTGGGAGAGTTAAACCAGGAGTTGAGAGAGACAGAATGATTTAAACCCAGGCAGGACTACCATGCCTCCAGGGAATTCAGGGCATGGAAGTGGACTGAGCCAAGAAAAGATTGGAAGTAAGTAAAGGGAAAAGTGAATCTAGTCACAATCAGGATGTTTTTTTATTTTGTGGTTTGGTTTGATCTGCTCTGTGTAGACCTATGCCTCCCCATTTACCATCTAAGCATTTTTTTCCAGACATTTTCTGTTTTTTATTTGTTTTTCTTAGTTGCTCTGTAGTTCCAGAAATTTTCTGTTTTTTATTTGTTTTTCTTAGTTGCTCTGTAACATCTAGCAACCAAGTATGCTTTATCAAGTATGTCTTTTGTTTTGTAATAAAAATCACTTTAAGGTGATGATTTGATTCTTGTGTCCTAGAAGGTACAGGAGGTCTGTCTGGGTGTGTGTCTGCATGTCTCAGGGTATGTCTAGACTGCAGAATTTTTCTGGGATAATCCCGGAAAAGCTCTGCCGCATCCAGGGAATGCATCCACTTTTACAGAACCGTTTCCGAAAAAAGCAGATGTGTTCTCAGAGAGAGGAATAAGGGATGTTCTGAAAGAGGAGTTTTTTCCAAAATCTGGCCCCATGCAGATGGGCCAAGTTTTGGAAAAGCCTCTTCCGAAGGAAAAAGAAAGCGGAAAAAGATACCCAAATTGCGATTTGCAATTTGCATATTTTTTTCTGATAGAACTCTGCAATCTAGACCAGTGTTTCTTAAACTTTTTAAGACCAAGGAACACTGAACAATATTTTTTTTTTTACAAGGATCACCAAGGATTTTTTGTTGAGCAAAACAAAACAAAACAAAAAAGTTGGGGG